CCCCCCCCCCCCCCCCCCCCCCCCACCTCACCCCGACTATATACGTTGTTGTATCTATATAAGATGCAAAAACGCATAAAGAATGAATATTTGTGCGTAATTTGTAAAAATTAACGATCTAACAAGTAAAAATTATAAAGCGATACTGCCACGTAAATATAAACCTGCAGTATCCCTTCGTGTTTTTCCTCGATTCTTTCTGGATTGCGGAAAAAATAACACTTCATTCTCCACAACAGTACAGTTTTCTACGAATATAGCTCTGAAAATGCAAATAAACAGTGACAGGTACTAAGGCAGATGGCGCAATCATAAGTTCTGTGCAACCCAGTTCAGCAAACGCTTGTGCAACTCTGTCCAAGGGAACCTTGCTGTTACAAATATTCATTGCTTTACAGTTTTATATGCATAGAAATTTCTGGTTTTTCCGAGTTACTAAATTTTGCACCAAAACTTGCAGGTGCGTAAAAGTGAAGCATACGAAGAGGCTAACTTAAATTTGTAAAATTATATGCGAGAAAAGAACGTTTTCTTAAAATTCCAGCCTCCCAGCTTTTGTGCTTCTGGAGTTCTTAATTCTGGCATCAAAACTTTCATGTACCCGTGTGTGAGACCCAGAGATACGCGGACACTGAATTTGTATTTGCGAGATCACACTTGGATTTGTGAGATCAGGGGAGTTCCCCTCCCATCAAAATTTCAGCTTTCTAGCTTCTCCAGTTCTCAGTAAAACGCACTCGGGACACACATACGCACATACACACGCGCATAAGGTCGCGGCAATATGCGTTTTGTGCAACTGTTGCAGCATGCATAAAAATTACCAATCAAAATGCATAAAAATTCCCGAGGAAATTTGATGATTGCTACAATGATCAGCACAACGAATTTTTGCCACGAAAAACGAGTCTGACAAAATTTTCATGATCGCATACGGCATAATTTCAGCAAAACGGCAACAGCTTTGTACTGCCAACGTTTATCTTCCAGCCTTAATTCTTGGAAGGTTACCAAGACCTCTCGCCCCCCTCCCCAAAAAAAAAAAAAAAAAA